CGTACGTCCTTTTCCATGTTCTTCCATCTAAATCTTGCTTTTAGTTTCTTTACAAGTCTATTATTTCCCACATGACCTCCAAACATCGGGTGATTATGGTATTCTTCTATTATTCTTAGTTTTTCTTGTTCGTCCTCTATGACTTCTGGTACTTCACATATGTATATTTCTACATTTTTCAATATCTTATTTCCTTCGTTTATGAATTCTTCAATTGTGCACGAATTAAAAATAATATCATTTAAATATATTTTTACTTTACTTATTGCATTCTCTACCGCTAGCTGATCAAGCTGTACCAACAATTGACCTAAATCAAAGTGATTAAATCCTGTGGTCATGCTCTTGCTGCATTTGATTTTGTTTTTGACCCGAATGCTCAGTCTTGGTGAGACTCGGTTTGCTCCAAAAGACAAAATTGGTAGTCTATGCGCCTCCATGTTGTTTAGTACCTTTCTTACTGTTTGCTTGTGGGTTTTATGTTGTGATATAATTTCCTCTTCTATCTCCCTGTGCTTCGCACTTTCGGCTTTCTTCTTTGATTGAGCTCTGGTTATAGCTAAAATATGTTTGTTGTCTATGTATAAGTCTTTCAACTGATTTGTTGATATTCTCGACAGACTGTCTGCGTAATTATTTTTCCCTGTTATATATTCTATCTCGAAATCGTATTCCTCTAAATCTAATCTGATTCTTGTGAGTTTTGAGGTAGGATCTCTCATTGAAAATAGGTGTGTTAGTGGTTTATGATCCGTTTTTATCAAAAATGTTGGTGCTCCGTATAAATAACATTTGAAATGGTTGATTCTCCAATGGATTGCAAGTAATTCTTTAATTATTATAGGTTTGTTAAGCTCTCCTTTGTTGAAGCTGCGCGATGCGTAAGCTATTGGTAAATCTGTTCCCTCGTAGTTCTGAACTAAGAATTGCTGAGCAACTTGCATTAGATGCGTCTGTTGTTAGTATGAATTGTTTGTTGAAGTCTGGTATTTTAAAATAGGTGGTTTTATCAAAGATGATTTGAGTTTCTTAAATGATTCTTCACAATCTTGCGACCAAAAAAATTCTACTCCTTTTCTCGACAATCTGTTTATAGGTATGCATATCTCTGCAAAATTCGGAATAAAACGTCTATAGTAATTACAAAATGCTATGAATCTTTTGGATTCTTCCGCATTCTTCGGTGTCGGGTAGTTCTCTATTGTCGAATGTTTCGCTTTATCCGGCGATACTCCTTCCTGCGACAGATCATGTCCCAAATATGTAACTTCTTTTCTAAAAAATTGACATTTTGCTGGGTTTAGCTTCAAATTAAATTTCCGACATATCTCAAATGTCTTTTTTAAGTTGTCTAAATGATGCTTTTCTGTTATTCCTATTACTACTATGTCGTCCATATACAGAAATTCTTTCTCCGGTGTTAAACCTGTAAAAATGCTATTGACATCATTCTCGAAAAGCTATTTGGGCTTATATTTAGTCCAAAAGGTAATCTGGTAAATTGAAATGCTCCTTTTTCCGTGCTAAAAGATGTGTATTTCCTTGATGACTGTTCTAGTGGTATCTGATGAAATCCTGATATTAAGTCTATTACTGAGAACCATTTTGCTCTACCTAGTTGGTCTAATATTGAGTCTATTCTTGGTAACGGAAATTTATCTGTGACTAGTTTCTTGTTTAGCTGTCTGAAATCTATACATAGTCTCCATGCTTTGTTTCCATCTATAGCTTTTTTCGGTACTAGTACGACTGGACTGTTGTATTCTGATGTCGATGGCTCGACAATTCCTTGGTCTATTAATTGTTGTACTTGTCTATTCAATTCTTCTGTCTGCGAATGTGGTGTCCTATAATTCTTTATGTAAACTGGTGTGTGTTCTTTTACTCTCAATTTTTGTTCATAAAAGTTGTTGCATGTTAGCATATCATGTCTTAATGCAAATATATCTGCAAAATCTTCACATAACGATACTAATTTATCTCGAGTGTATTGCGGTATATCTAGCTTTAATGTTTCCCGTAGTTCTTTCTTCCTGTCCTTGCTGTCGTTAATTGATCTGTATACTTTAAACAATTTCATGTCTGATGTTTTGATTGTATCCGTCTCTATCGTAGCAGTTTCGTAAGTCGTATTTAAAATTTTGATATATGGGTTATTCCTTGATATTATCGCTCTCGCTAGGAATATTCCCGGTAGTATCTCCTGTTGTTCCACTAGTCTATCTGCCTTTAACTTTTGAAAATATTGAACTGTTCTGTAAACTTCACATCTGGGTGGTATTATAATTGTGCTATCGTCTACAGTATCCAAAATATTTGTACTGATGTAATAGTTTCTATCATTTTTGATATGTATTTTCAAATTTGCGTAATCTAATATGCATTGAAAATTTGTGATAAAATCTCTTCCAATTATTTCGACTGTTGGTATAGGAAAGTTGTTTTCTACCAATTGAAAGGTATGTCCAAAAAGATTGCCACGTACGTCTAGCGTAGTTTCGATTTCTCCCATTGTTTGTAGTTCTCCTCGAGTTACTCCTTTTATTCTTGCTTTTGAGTTCGGTTTTACATATTCTCTCATAGAGTCTTGTGTACATTTAAGTATTGAAATATCTGCTCCTGTGTCTATAATAAATGTATTTACTTGTCCTAAGATTCCTGTTTTTATTCTTAGGAAGTTTGTAAGGTTTAAGTCGAAATTGTAGATAAAATATTCTGATTCTGTCATCTGTTCATCCGTCTCAGATGAGAGTTGTTTGTTTAAAACCCCAACTGTGGGTTTTCTGATTCCTGCGGACTATCTTCTAGTTCTAATAATCGTATATGTCTGTTGAATCCTCTTGAATTTCCCCTCTGTGCCTGGTTATCAAATTTTCTGGACCCTTTTTGCTCATGTTGACGGTGGTCTCTTTTTCCATTGTTTTGTTGCGAGAAATTTGGTCTTCTCCACTGGTTATATCCATTATGATATCCTCTTTTGTGCTGGAATTTCCCTCTTTTGTTATAGTATGTTTCATAATTTAACACTCTTCCATGTACATTGTCTTCTGTTGTGTCTATTGATAGGAATTTTGACATCACCTCTTGTGGGGTTGTGAAATTGCCTGCCTCTAATATTAGCTTGGCTTTGTCTGTGCTGGCGTTACGTTTTATCGTAGCTACTACAGCCTCTGTTGTATATTTCTTAGCTAAATCTCCTGGCATTCCCTCTGTTATGTATGCCACTTTTAATTGTTTGGCTAATGCCTCAACCTCGGCTGCGTACACAGCTGCATCTTTATGTCCTTGCTTCTTTTTGTCTAGTTTTGCTATCACCGTTTTCGGCGTATCACCTTTTAGTTCTCTCTTCAGTGTTGCCTGTATGTCTAAAATAGTGTCTTCTGTGGTTATTAAGTTTCTGGCTTTATTTGTTAACCTTGTTTTTATGAGGCTTATCGCTGTTTCCTCATGTCCTACTGCTATTTTTTGTAAAAGTTCGAGTGCGTCCACGAAGGATTGTAGTTTGCCTGTGGTTCCGTCAAATTCACTTGGTAAGATTTTGCTTGCAATGTTTAAAAATTCATTGATGCTAAGCGCCATGGTTTGTCTCGGTTTTTGTTGAAGTATCTCTTACAAGTTTCTCTCTGGATATCAGTTAGTGCATCCCAATTTTTGGTTATGAGGTGTACCAATCTATTATAAGCTTCAATTATTTGTGTCGTTATCTCAGTTTTTACCTCCTTGCTTTTAGGTATCTCCTTTTTTAACACTCTTTTGCTCTGCTTAGTAATATCCTGCGTAATGGCTTCAAGTATTTTGACAAAATCTTCCCAACTGCTAGGCATTTAAGAACGAAAACACAAATCCGATAGTCTTATGTAGTACGATAAAATTCGAGAATAATGTAGCAAAAAAATATATAATATCGTCAAATACCCATTAAAATTCAATAAATTCAATAAATTTAAATAAATTCAGTAAATTAATAAATTAAAAATTATCCATACTAAAATATAAGTGAAATTATCTTTAAAAAGTCATAAAAATAATAATTAATATTTAACAAAGTAACTGCTATGTTAATATACGTGTGAGGAAGTGCAAAAAAAATAGATAATATGCAGACTCACCACTTAAACGTCTAAATTTGTTGTCGATCTCGCTGCCATGTCCCGGTGTATGCTCCGCTTCATATTTCTCCTATGCGTCTTCCATAACGACCATACCAATTTAGTATCAGGACCGTGGTAATGATGTATAAGAGTACCTTTATTTCTTCGCCTGGTCTGACATCTTTACTTTTTACTATGAAGTTGCTGTTGACAACTCCATTCTCCTGTAGGTCTTCCTTGGATGACTTTCCTCCCATTCTATACTTCTGGAACGAAGACTCCTGGTTTCTACCAATTCAGGATCGCCATATGGTAAATATTATCTTGGGTAGTAAATAATATTGTTGTAACTAGTTGCCCATTTATTAATCACTGCTTTGTACAATATTTCACTATTATAAACTTAAATATATCAGTACTTAATTGACGCTGGCCATAGTGTCGGTATAATAATTAAGATTCCCGAGAATGATTGGTGTTGCTTTTAATAGCCTCGGCCTTGCTGACTCAGCGCTCTTGTTACTATTCGTGTCAAGTGTATTCCCTGACCTACACCACAAGTGAGTCGTGCAATTTTACTAGAGTGCTGACTGGCTGTTTTAATTAGAGTATGTTATATATAAATGACCTCGATTTAAAATACCGAATGTTTACATAAACAAAATGTTACACGAGTATGAATTATAATATTATTTTATCTGTAATTCTAATATTTAAGGGTTGATATTACATATATATATATATATATATATATATATATATATATATTATATATATATATTATATATATATATATATATATATATATATATATATATATATATATAATATATTCCTGTTTCTCTCCCTATTAATTTTTACCCTTTTATAGAAATCATTGAAAAATCTAATGCATTTTTATGTTCCAAAAAATTGTAATTTAATTCTTGTTGCAGATACACTCGTAAATTATTTAGTAGCGGACTAAAAAAGGATTTGGAGGATAATGATCTCTTTGAAGTTATTAACAGATGTCGCTCGGAAAATTGTACGGATCGTTTGGAACATGCATATGAAACGGAATTTACGAAAAAGAAACCCTCTATCCTAAGGGTTTTATGGAATTGTTATGGACACACATATGTGTTTTTAGGACTTATTCACTTAACGTGGAACTTAATTTCAAGGTAAAGTAATTTTTTAAATATAGTATCTCCTTTGTCTACAGGAAGGAAACATTTTTTTCTGGATATTTTTCTTCATTTCTGCACTCCTATATTTCTATTAAGAACTTTTACAGAAGTTCTTGTAAGAATATAGAATATCCTTGATATTTTAGAGGTTCATAATTACGTAGATAAATGTACTGGCACTGACAGACAAACTCACGAGTGCAATTGAAGCAATCCATAATAAAAAAAATAACTAGCGTTAAAAGGACAATAAAAACCATGACAGGTAATAAACATTTATAACTCTTTAGATTTAATTTTCTCTCCCATTTTTTTCGCTGCATTTACTGTTTCTTTAACTCCTATTTCTTTCCTGATAAAATAATTCATTGTCTCTCGCAATTCTTCCTACACATTATTTTTTGTTATGTGTTCCTGTACTACTATATTTATACTTGTTTTTCACTTTCTATTTATCCACACTTTTTTAGGCAAAGCTGTTTTTAGTTGCTCTATTTCTTTAATGGCTAGTTAATTAAGTCTCTTCAGATCTTTTATTTTTTTTTCACTTTTTTAGTTTTCTTTTATCTTTTTGATCTTCTGCCTACGTTTTTTATATCTTCGCCCTGTTCGTGTTCTTCCTTTATTTCATTCATACCATTCATTAATTGTTTTAACATTTTCTTCGTTGCTTCTTATAAGGTTTTATGTTCTTTCCTTTTTGGCGTTCTTGTTCTTTTTTCATTCTTTTAAATATTTACTTCTGCCTCATCTACCATAATACCTCTTCTCTTACCTTTATCTGTCATGAAATAATTATCGGAATCGATTTTCTTGTACCGCGATAAGAGCCGTACAAGAAAATCGATTCGGACTCCAGGTCGACTCCACAGGGGGTCAGTTCTTCTCATTACTGTTTATTGTCTCATTTAAAGTCTAAACAGAAATTTTGGTTTGAATTGTGTTACCGAAATCAGTTGAAATATTGGGCAAAACCAAGTCAGAAAAAAAAATCATTGGTTTGATCATGAGTACGAAATAGCCACAAATAGAAAGAACACAGCATACCGAAAACCATCTACGCAAGTTGTACATGGAGAAAAAAGAAGAGTATAGACGTCTTAGAAAAAAGGAAAAACGTATTCATCGATGTAAAAGAGAGAATATGAACAGAACACTCTCAATCGGATACAAAGTTTATTCGAGAAAAATGAAACGAGGAAATACTACAAATCCGTAAATAATAGCAGTCGACAATTTAAATCACGATTAAAAATTTGTAAAGACACTAACGGTGAAATTCTACATGATAAAAACTCATTTCTTAAGAGATGGGTACAACATTTCAGCGAACATCTAAATATAAACGATATTAGAGGAGGTTACAACATAGAAAATCAACAAAATTTATAATGTCAACTACACAGTTAAGACCCAACAAGAGAAGAAGTGTCAAATGCCATCCTGAAACTCAAACATAATGAAGCCCCAGGAATATATGAAATATGTTCGAAAATGTATAAAAAATGGTGGTGATCAACGTTTTGCAGGAATCCTTAAACTAATAGTACTTATATGGCAGAATAAATTGGTACCAGAAAATTGGCTAAGGGAAATAAATAATGTAAAGGAAAGTGGTCTGTTGCATAAAAAAGATGATTAACTGGAGTGCAAGAACTATAGAGGCATTACTCTGTTAGCATTTGCGTATAAAATCTTCGTCATTGTATTGTTTGAAAGACTTAAACATTTTACAAAGCATATTGTTGGCCAATATTAATGCGATTTACTGCTGAAAAGTCAACTACACATCAAATTCAAGCACATAGGCAGATTCTAGAAAAGTTACTAGAATATAACATAGATACACACCAGCTCTTCGTCGACTTTAAAGCAGCATAAGTTAGTTAAGTTAACCCAACTAACAATGCAAAACGTAAGCTCATGCGTTAGAATTGAAGGAAAATATTCTACGTTCTTTGACATTAATAATGGTCTAAGACAGGGGAACGTGCTAGAGTGTCTAGCGCGTCCTTTATCTTTATCTTTAATATTGCCTGGGAAAAGGAAATCAGACAATTAAATATTAGAAATGAATAAAACTATTTTAAATGGATCGATCCAAATTCTTGCATTCGCTGGCGATATAGTTATAGAAGGGAAAAGTATGAGAGACATGGTGCAGTGTTAAAAGGACTGCGGACGCGGTAAGTGACTTAGGACTTGTGGCAAATGAGGAAAAAACCAAAAATATTTCCTAAAAACTGCCGAAATATCCAACAGAGAATTTAAATTACCAACCATACCTTTGAGCAAGTCAAAGAATTCACATTACTTGGATCGCTAGTAAAGGCAACAAACACGACAAGCGACAAAATAAAAAGATGTATAGCTATAGCAAACAGAACTGTTCACGGTCTCCAGAAACATTTAAAAAATAAAAATATAAAACGTGTAAGAACTCTCAATATATACAAGACCTTAATAAGACTAGTTTTGATATATGGGGCTGAAGATATAACTTTGAACTATATCAGTTATACACCGATCCGGATATTGTGAAATTCGTTAAAGTGCCTGAGACTTAGATGGGCTGGACACATCCTAGATGTCAGATCACCAATACACGAAGCAGAGGATGACCACGTATTCCAAGTTGCCTGGAATCGAAAGGAGTGGCGACTTCTTTGTAAGTAGGCCAAGATCCACAACGGATTGTCGAGCCACTTATGATGATGACAATGAAAGTTAAACCTAAATTACATACTAAGGGAACTGTGATACAAGCGCTAATGCCGTGGCGTTAATAACGCGAAAAACAGGGCACATAATTTCTAAGTTATACTTGACTTTAGTTGCGTCGCTTGGAGATCACTTTGCCCGCATTCATTACAAGGTGGCATCTAACTCATTAAGCATATTTGCAAACATAAAAAACAAGGACATAAAAACAATAAGATACAATATTATGCAAATATGGAAACAAGAAGTACTACAGAAATTATTGGGAGGAGAAATGGAAAACGGCATTTGGTTTAGAAGGACAAATAAAGAGAGATCTGAGAGAGTTTGTGGAAAGCCCAGCATACTAGGAGTAATAAGAACCCAACGACTAAGACAGCTAGGACACATAGGTATAGAGGATGCCAGAAGATAGACTACCGAACATGATACTATCAAGTACAAAGTGAGGATCTGAGAAAAAAAGTCGACCCTAAACTGCTTAGAAGATGGGTGTAGAAATAGATCTAAAAAGACTGAACGTCACAAATTATAGGATACCAGCAGTGGAAAAGAAGGGATGAGATGAATGGCCAATCAAAACTTGGGCCTACTTGGTTCGACACGGTAATTATCAATAATATTATATTTAATTTTACTTTTTTTCTAGCGCTTTGGAGCCAGACGCTATTTCTCAGCTGGTAGCATATTTTAAACCAGGACAAACTAAAATGACTATAAACGATGCCTTTTACTACGCTGGTGTTTTAATTGGTTTGAAATTATTACATACATTATATCATCCAAATTATCAAATATATCTGATTCAATTGGCTATTCAAATAAGGACTTCATTTTCCTCTTTAATATACAGAAAAGCCCTTAAACTTAGTCCGAAGACTTTAGAAAATACAAGCTTAGGTAAGAATTAAATATTTTAATTATTTTAATTGTATTCAAAAGATTCATTAACAAAGTATATATATATATATATATATATATATAAATATATAAATATATATAATATATATATATAATATATATAATATATATATATATATATATATATATATATATAAATATATAAATATATAATATATATATATATAATATATATATAAATATATATATATATATATATATATATATATATATATATATATAGTGTTAATCACAGCTGATTAAGTTGATTAAGTTAAGAAAATAAACCAAACTTAAGACTCTTTGGGTAAAAACAGCTGAAAGGATAGGCTAAGTGTATTCTTTAGTCCTTTATTAATCCAATATTTCGTCGATAGTTATCGACGTTATAAGTTTCCTCTTATCCCACTGAGTTAGTTAAGAAAATCCTTTATGACACCCCTTTATCCCTTCCTCAGGGTATAGTAGATGAATTAAACAACATTATTACAAATGTCTAAAGAGAAATAGGTAGCTCCGAACAAATTGACACTAACAACCGAGAAATAGGAGAAAATGTTAAACGTATTACAACCAATGAACCAAGTACAAAATACACAATGATTTCTCTACCTTATATCAAAGAGCTCATACCCAGACAAGCAAGGGTAATTGTTTTTATAATTTCAAAATTGCCAATAAAACGGTATTTTTAATAAAAAAACCTTCACACAAAAGTAAAAGACAAAACACCTAGAGAGCAGATGTCACATGTAGTCTACAGCATTCCATGCAAAAAATGCAATAAAAAATACATAGGCCACACAGAAAGGCATCTAAAAAATCGCATAATTTCACACAAAAGCGTCTGCAGACTGCATCATGACCGTTGCTCATTAGCGCTTCATGTAGTAAATGAAGGACATCAGATGGACTGTGAGTCAGTAGAGGTTCTAGAAAGGAAAACCAATTACAAGAAACGTCTTTTCCTAGAAATGGCTTGTATAGCGCAAACAGAAAATAACATACATAAAAAACAGACATCAACCACCTTAGTGAAATCTACTCCTTTCTTCTAGCAGTAGACAAACAACATATGAAATTCAATAATTCAATAGTTTCCATTTTAGAATAAATTTAACACCATTTTATCACATAGTTTAACAATAGACTCTTAAAGTAAAAAATCATACAGCACATTATCAATTATAATAATTAACATTTTGTATCAAAAATTTAAATACAAAATTACTTTATTATAATCTTCAACCTTTACAAAATAACTAGGTCTTGGAATCAACCAAGATCTATTTATTAAACTCTTGTTACAGTGATCTTCAATCACGTAACAATTTCCATTTTTTAAAATATCTCCTACCAAGATTCTATTCTAATACAGGTACAGACAACCAATAAGGCAAGGGCCACTAAAATCTCCCCTCTACTTTAACCATCTAAGAGAGAAGAAGATTTTAGAGGTTAGTGTCTTCAACACATTAACAGTTTTCATTTACATGAACTTAAAGTAAAGAAATAAGATGTAAACTCTCGAGAGAGGACATTTGGTCCTACACATAATAGTTAAAATTGTGCATTGTCTTTGTACCAGTCTTAGTGAATTTACATTACATGTTTTTTCTGTTTTTTCTTTTGTGAAAAAAACTTATAAAATTGTTTCACAAAAAAATTTTTATAACTTTGACTAGTTTTTACGGCACTATTCTCAAATCGTAAGTAACGTCAACTTATCTATAACAGATTGTCAATTTTCATGTAAAATAATTGTAGCTTATCCCTGATGATGTCGATATCTATCGACGAAATATTAGATTAATAAAGGACTAAAGAGTACACTTAGCCTATCCTATATATATATATATATATATATATATATATATATATATATATATATATATATATATATATATAAGTAACATTGCATTTCATTTTAATTCCAATTCCACCATTGTTCCACACGTGTTTCAAGTTATTTAATAACTTCTCATCAGGAACACATGTGGAGTTCAAACTGAAATTAAATTCAGTCTAGCATTTGGTCATTATTATAATTAAAATAACAGCCGAGTACACTAGCAGCGGCATCTATACGAATTAACAAGAAGTCGAGAGATGTTATAGCGCCTTTCAATATCCTCTTTGTCTATTGGAGGCTTTGAATGCAGTTCATCTAATTTGTTGTCAAAGGGAGGTCTCTTGTCTCTTGACTTATATATATATATATATATATATATATATATATAGTATATGCATATATATAATATATGTATGTATATTATATATGTTGTTAAAATAATACAGATTATTATTTCGACCAAAAAATAATTAATAAAAAAGTAGGAAATTCTCAGGTAAAGTGGTCTATATAAAAATCATTGTTTTTTCTAAAAACTCAATATTTCCTATTTATTTTTTAGCCTCATCAGGAGTAAACTAAAACAATTTCAACATTATAAAAATGGCGTACAAATACATTTTAAAAAACACTTACAGAAATTAAAAGATTTCACAAGTCAAAACTGTCATAGCACGTTCATTACAACAATACGATAAAAAAATTAAAGTTACTTCAAATGTAAAATTAAAATCACTTATCACCTTAATAACAACTAACAATAATAATTCATCAAATTAAAATTTGAAATAGCTATTTGAATATTTATAAATTTTGTTTAATATATTACAATATACGTTGCTTAACTGTCCAGTGTCCGATTTATAATTTTTTTATTCGAGTCGAGTTAATGCCTCGACAATTTATAATTTAAAGTGTTTTTATTATTGTTAATGTGATATATTTTAAGAAATAATCTTCTTTTGTAGTTATCAGCCTCAGAGTTATCAGAGTTTGTAGATATAGTAGATTTTATTTATATAAAACGATTTTTTTAAGTTCAAAATTAAGGCATTTTAAAATTGATTTAGTGCGTGACCGCTTAGTATGTTTCAGATTGTCGTGTAATTTAACGTAATATGGATAATAGTGGTTTTTTTAATTATCCAACATTATTGACTAATTTTGGCTGATTCCTAATATATTCGAAATTTTTAGGTTATTAGGATTTTCCTTAACTGATAGGAGTACATCAAACGAATTGGCTTTGTCAGTAGTAACTAGTTTAGTTTTATTAATATTTTCATATGCAACGTCACCACTAACACGGAAATTACTTTGCAGTCTTTTAAAAATTAAATTTTTGCGCAGAAGCGCCTTGGTAAGGCGCTGTAAACAATTGGAAAAGTCCATTTACGCGACGAGAGGAGTCCGTAATACAACATAATTTATGTGGTACATTTATATATTGGACAGTTAAATGTTATTCTAACAAATAATCTTTTTAATATAAGGAATTAAGAAAACACGATTATTAAAAATTGAATAATCTAATAATACAATTAAATTTTGAACACCCTGTACTGAAATGTTAAATACTTAATTATAAAATATAATATTTGAGTATTCCCCAATTATTTAGGCCTAAGGAAATATATTGAAGCGGAGCTTCTTTGCTTGCTAATTTCTCTATAGTAAACTGCTGAGCACGGCGTCATTGGAATAAAGTCACGAAGTATCGTGGCGTTACTTCTTCTGCAAAAGCGCCTTGTAACATGTAACATGGAACATGTAACATGCAACATGTAACGTGTAACTTGTAAACTTTTTCAGTTTTATGTAATTCACAAATATTATTTTTGTGTTCATTTGGATGTGGATGATTTTTTATTTTAATAAAAAATAATAAATAAATGACAATATTACTTTATTTGATTTTAAAAACATTATTTACAATTTAAAAATGAAAAAACATAGTATAAAGCTTCACGGTAGTCTACAGTACCGCCTACCGTACCATTTCTTTATTTTTACGCACAATCGAAAAAACGATAAAATGCAAGGTGTTGTGTATAGGAAAAATATAACTTTGCTACGTTACGATTTAAAATCATTTTAAAACATAGCTCTTCTTTTTTTGCAATAATTTATGTAATAAATTCTTTGATAGTCCCGAAACTTTTTTCTTGTAGCATACATAAGTTAAATATTATGTTTTTATGGGATTAAGCCACAATTGGTTATAACGAAAATTATATTTTATGTTTGTTTTAACATTTCGACTTTCACTTCTTCTTCTTCTTCTTTCGTTTTATGGCCTCCACCTCTTAGGTACGTGGCCAGCTCATGTATATATTTTTATTTCAATTACAGAAGGGAATTCTCTCCACAGAGATTCTGGAAATAACCATATTCCCTTCAACTATTTTGGACAATTTATAGTGGATATTCTAAAATAATTCTATATGTCATTAATGATATAGATTTTTCTTGCTCCATCTATTAAGCTATGTAAGGTATATCTGGAATTTGGCATCTTGGACAGGAAATCAGTGGTTAAAGGATAGGTTAGGTTGGGTATTTATTTATATTTTACTTACATTTTAATTTGGAAAATATTGATAAACTTACCAATCATTTTCAAGGTTTTAGCATTGATATTGTGGAAAATATTTTGTACTGAAATGGGCGTTGGGCATCCATCTTTAATAAGCCTTTGATATAAATCAAATAGTGGTGTCTTATTTATAGGACACTCTAGCAAGATGTGTATTATACTTCCTATTTGATCACACTCACAAAAAGGGGAATCAATACAGTTAATTTTAAATAGATGATCTGGCGCCAAACAATGTCCTGTTCGTAACCTAATAATTGTTGTCAGGTGTCTACGGTCTACAAAGTCAAACTTATGAAACCATGGTTTTATAGAGAATTCGCTTTGACCTTGTTGATACCACTTTCCCTTTTGTTTAAACTGTTTTAGCCAATCAAGTTTAAATTCATTTATTAGTGTTTGAGTAAGAAAAGAAAGATAGTCCATTTTATCAATTTTTATGTTAGCTGGGATGTTTAGGGTTCTACCTATATTCGCCAATTGATCTGCCACAATATTCCCTTTTACTCCTGGGTGGCCTGGAATCCAGGCTATAATAATATCAAGTTCTGC